AAAACGAGCGTACGTACGTACGTACCCTCTGTCTGCTCCGGCTCTCTCGCTGCTGCTGTCCCTTGCTCCCCGCCCTCCGCCCGGGTCTTCCTCCCACCTCCCTCGTCTGCTTTCTGTATTACTTTACTTAACTAATTTCCTTCCTAGTGTTCTCTCACTATACCCTCCCTTGAACTGGGTGCTGTTGTTTCCCGTCCCGACCTCAAATTTGCCGTAATTAGATATTCCCCTCGTACAATGGATCTCTCCAATCCGGGGCCTTTGGAACGCACGATAAATAGGTTCACCTCCGCCGTGGACAGCGGGCGATAATAGTTGGCTGTCTCGGAAAGTCCGAGAGGAGGCGGGCGAGCGAGCGAGCGAGCGAGCGCCCGCCTTGGGAGCGAGAGTCGGCCGACTCCGGCTGGCAGTAATTGCACCAGCCCCAGGGCGTAGAGGGAGGGTATAGATAAGTGGGAGGAGGGGAGGTGAATGTGGACGGGGACACAGGGGAAGGGAAAGAGCGGGAACGGGCGGGGGCGGAAGGGGTGGGGGGTTGGGGGTGGGTTGGGTGGTATAGTTTGATGGGAGTAGAGTTTGGTGGAAAAGGGTGTCGGCTTGGGCGAGGAGGGGACGGGCCAGCGGAGCGGGGATGGTGAGGGGGCCCCGAGCTAAGCCAGCCAGCAAGCAAGCAAGCACAGGTATTCTGAGAGGAGCGGGAAAGTGTGTGAGTTTGGGGGTGAGCGGAACAGAATGGACTGGGGTGTGGACGGGAAGCCGGGAGTAGTAGTAGACAAGAAAAGGGAGAAGAAGCAGGTCGGCAGAGAATAGAATAGGCTTGCTTGGCGGTGATACCGGGAACATCATCCGTAAAACAATGAGTCCAAGCAAGGGTGCTTAGGTGCGAGAGAAGAGGAGGGAGGGGAGAGCGAGCATTGCTGTGTGTGTCTGTTGCGAGTTTTTCAAGCGTCTTGTGGGATACCTAGGCCTCGGATCTGCGGAGGACAAGGACGCTCCATCGATCTGGTAGGGAGGCCCATAGTACGACGACCTTAGCACGTCCGTCCATATGGCTGGCCGGCCTAACTGCCGGCTGGCGTGCCTTCCCTAGAAAGTAGAAAGTAGTATATTCTTCCGCTGTGAGAGTGGGATCGGAGGATGAGAGAGAAAGAGAGCGGAGGTAGTAGATTGAGACGTAGAGCCGGGAGCTGGATCGATTCATCATCACGCGTACAAGCGAACTCCTACGTGATTCGAGTGGCCGACGACGTACTGTATCCCAGCTTTTGATTGAATGGCAGCATGCCTTCGCAAGCTATTGCGATGCCGCGATGGGCGATTGCCATGCACAGCGGGAATGACGAGTGATTCGTTGTCCTCATGCGCTTCATGCAGCATGCTAACTTTGGAAAGAAAGAGAGAGAGAGCCAGTGAGCGGGACCGGGTGCGTGGAGTAACCAACCCCCGGATAGGACACCTGCGCTGTAGAGAGTAGAAGCGGGACGGACTGAGTCGCGACGGCAGAGAACCCGCCGAAGGAGGGAGGATCGACGTTGCCTGTCTGTCTAATCGAAGGAGGACGAGGAGGAGAAGAGGGAGGGAATGGGGGCGGAGGGAGCGAGAGAAGAAGAGAAAGGCAAAGGGCGGAAGAGGTGGCTATCTCGGGATTGCTAAGCGATTTAGCAAAACGGGAGGTAACAGAAGCCGCAGCTGGAAATGTGCGAGTAGAAGACGGAGCACTATGTGCAGACTCCGAAAGGAGACACACCGAGATAGATAGATAGATAGAGGGAGAGAGAGAGAGAGAGAGAGAGAGAGAGAGAGAGAGAGAGAGAGAGAGAGAGAGAGAGAGAGAGAGGGCGTTGGGAGAGGGGGGAGGTGGTATTGCTGGCCGTCTGACGCAATCGCTGCCCACCCATTTCGAGGTAAGTTACGGTGATTGGTGGTGATGAAGCTACACGACGGCTACCCGTGGCGAACGGAGCGAAACGTGCAAAAAATAGGATACCGAGAAGAGAATTAGATAGATTTTGAGCGAAGCCCTGTCAGTTGCTCTCACAGAAAAGAGGAGAAAAGAGGAGAAAAGAGGAGAAAAGAGGAGAAAAGAGGAGGAAAGAGGAGAGGAGGCGTGGGATATGACAGAGAGGAGGAGAAATGGATAGACGAAAAAAGTGAGTGATTACTGGGAAGGAAAGGTAGCGGTGTAGTCGGAGGGAAGTGTGCCCGAAAGCGCGCGAGATATCCATATACAGCCACTCGTCCATTTTCGATCGACTACGCCAGTAGTTAGTCGGCAATTGACCTGGATTAATTAAACGTTTGCTGCTTCTTTCTCTCCTCTCCAGCTCTCTTTTCTGTCCTTTCCCTCCCTCCCTCCCTCCCCCTCCTGTCTCTCCTTCTCTCTCATCGCTTTGGTCTCTTCCCCGTTTCGAGCAGAATTTCGAGAGGCGGGCTCGCGTCGTGTGGCGTCCAGGTTTCTTTGCTATTCTCCCCGCGCTTTCCCATCACGCTCGACTGCCTGCCTCCTCTCTTTTCGCCTCACTAATCACATCCGGTAGTAGAAAGCGCCGATTCTACCACGGGCTTGCAATTAACATATCACAACTATCATACACACCCGGACTCTTCCCCTTCCCCTTCCCCTTCCCCCCCTCCCTTCTCTGCCAAACACACACACACACACACGCACACACAGTCGCATTCACGCACGGAGCCAGACGCATCTGACAGACTGTACTCCCACGAAAGTGGTGCCTGTCCTGGCCGCGTTGAAGGCGTCGTATTTCGCTCCCTTCAGAAGCTAGGTAGTTCCAATAGATCGGTGATTGCTGCTCGACTGCAGTGTGATCGCCTCCGCGAGGCTGGCGGCGCAGCAGCCGCAAGTGTCTTTTGGCTAGCTGTTGCTTAAGGGAGTCATCTTTTTCTCTTCTGGAAGATAGGTGCCCTCCCTTTCTCCCTCCCTCCCTTCCTCCCTCTCCTTGCCTCCCTCCTGTTCATCTTGGCTATCGCTTTCATGACAGCTCATGTCGCCTCATCATCAGCTGGCTCGATCTCCATAACTCTTGCCGCCCCTTTCGTGGCGATCGTGGCAGACGGATTTGCTCCGCTTCTTCCACGCACTCACGGACGCACGTACGCACGCCTGACACACGATCGGCCGCTCAGAGCACTTGAATCTCACATGCCCCACAGCAACAACCCGTTCAGCTCTATCTGACTGTCCTTGCTCTCTTCAAGCCAGCCAGCTTCCAAGTAGTTTCAATCTGACACTCCGCTCCGCTCCGCTCCGCTCGGACGAGCGAAACGCCCGCCTTTGCCTATCATTCATTCTGGATAAGCTCTGGAGTTAATGATGACTGTGTAGGCGAAAGAAAGAAAGAAGATTCGCAGTGAATTCTGCGTCCTTTTGTGCCGGTAGTGGATTGCTTGTCGTCTTCCTGCTCAGTGCGGAGCGTGCGCATCACGACGGATCTCCGTATGTGACCCAGGATACCGTTTTTTTTCCTTTGTTTGAATCTGCAGACACCTCTCCCTCCGCATGTGCTTTGCTTTCTCCGTGGGGAAGAGGAGGGTAGGCAACCATAGCCGGCCCCCTTCGAGCCGGGAAGATCCACAATTCACGCGGTGTCTACTAGCGCGATCCTCCTTCGACCTCATGTCGACATAGACGCTGCCCCCCCTGCCCTGTCATCATCTTCTCTTTCTTTGTTTCCCCCTCTCGAGGGGCAGAAGTATTTGCTACCATTTGATTGATCGATTGTGTGTGTGCCTGTGTGTTTGTGTGTGTGTGTGTGTGTGTGTGTGTGTGTGTGAGAGAGAGAGAGAGAGAGAGAGAGAGAGAGAGAGAGAGAGAGAGAGAGAGAGANGAGAGAGAGAGAGAGAGAGAGAGAGAGAGAGAGAGAGAGAGAGAGAGAGAGAGAGAGAGAGAGAGGGGGGGTTATTCCATACAGGTTAGTAGTAAGTGTACTCAATTGCTCTCTAAGAGGGGGTGCAAGACGCAGGAGCTGCATCGGAAGCACTTGAGGGGGTATATTGGCCTCGGGTTTGGCTGTGTGGGGTTTTCTGAACGAACGTCCCTCCATCGCGTCGTCGTCAATAATCAACGACAGTTGATTTTGCATGCGCCGATCCATTGGTCGGAGTTTGTCTCATCGACGTAGTCCCTCATACTCTCTCTCTCTCTCTCTCTCTCTCTCTCTCTCTGTGTCTCTCTTTTTCTGTCTCCTATCTTTTTATGAGGAGCTTCAATCCGCTGCCATCTTTCTTTCATCTCTCACCCAAATAAATTTTTGTCAGCACCATTAGTGCCCGTCATCATATATACTCAATTCGCTTCACCACGATTACTGTCATCATCATCTTAATCATCATCATCATCATCATCATCATCATCTTGTGAGCAACCCGCGTGATCATCTGAAGAAGGGAACCTTGTGCTAGTGATTCGTTTCCTTTCCTCCTCCTTTTCACTTGGCCGCTGTAGTTATTTCCCTGCGCTCGTTACTATCCATCTCCTCTTACACCCCCCTCCTTCCACTTCCTCCTCCTCCTCCTCCCCCTCCCCCTCCTCCTCCTCCTCCTCCTCTGCTTTTGTGCTCAATTGGCTCTTGCAGAACAGCAGCAGTCGAACACACATGCGGTTAACCTGACGACGATGTTTGCGCTGTGAAAGAGAGAAAGGCAAAGGTGGTGGATGCTCTCTGCAGCGGCCTCCTTTGATCGCTCTCTGAGTTGCCTTGCGTGAACTTTTGATCGCCCTCGTCTTCTCGAAAAGCGCGCCGAAAACGAAAACGGCCACATTTTCCAGGTCTCATCATCTGTACGATCCGCTAACCGTTGCTGCGCCGGGTCTTGGACTGGCGTCCACTCACTCTGGGGCTGCCGATGGTGTTGGGGATATGAGGAATGGTAATCGAACAGTTGGGGGGAGCTCTTTGAGAGGTTTTTGGTGATGGGAGAGGTGGTCGTTGTATAACTGCTTCGCGGATAGGTGTAGGGCTTCGTGCGTGCTGTGGTTGGCAGGAGCACGACGAGTTCTGAGCGTTTTTTCTTGCGGCAGTGGCGAAGAGCTAACGTCGTCGGGATTTGAGCAATTCAATAGAGAAAGGCTGAGAAGGGGAAGAGGAGAGGAGAAGGCGGGGGAGCAAATCAGTAGGCCAGAGAAGGCTTCAGTGGGTGCAGAGCCATCTGTGTTCCTTTGCCCTTTTTGTCTTTTGTTCTGGCGTTATTCTCCATTTCAAAGAGTGTAATATATCCTTTGCCCCATCGTGAGAGAATGAACAGACTAGAGGAAGGTCAGCAGCAGCCACAGCAAAAGCAGCAACAGCAAATGCTGTCGCATCAACAAGAGCAGCAGCAGCAGCAGCAGCAGCAGCAGTTTCAGGTGATAGATTACCATCAGCAGCAGCAGCAGCAGCAGCAGAGTCAGCAACAAATGACGAGTTCAATGAATCAGCAACAGACTATGGGAGATCTAAGGGCAGCAGAGCAGGCACAGCAGCAGCAGGGGGGAGCAAATGTGGTGCAGCAAACATCTAGCGCAGGGGGTGTAGAAGGTCGAAGGGTTGCTAGTGGGAAAGATGATGATGAGTACAGCACGCTCGGGAATCTGTACTTGTCGTTACAGCACAAGATGTTTCCATCTTCCCTGGCGCTTGCGGCAGCGGCATCAAGCATGTTGCCGTCGATTCACAGCGCGATCAGTCAGGCGACGGCTTCGTTCTCCTTGTGGGTGTTTCCCACGAAAGGAACTAAGCCTGGACCACTTGTCTTCAGCGGCGCAGGTCCGTTACCACTTGTCTCATCCCTCCGCCTCCGTTGCCCCCTTTGCGACCCTCTCCTTCCCCAACCTCCCAATGGCTTCCCTGCGATTGGCGCCCCCCCCTCTTCTCTGCTTTTCCGCCCTTACTCCCTCGCATCCCGTGGACTATTGGCCGTTGTCATCCCCACATCGTCATGCTTCTCTTTTGCTCTCTCTCTCTCTCTCTCTCTCTCTCTCTATTTGTCTCTCTCTGTGTACCTATGTCTACCCTTCTTGCTGGTTCTCTCTCTATGCTTGCCTCTCCTTCTCTCCCACTGTCTCTTCCTCGTTCCCTCTATCTTCCTATTTATGTCGACATCCCTCTGTGGTTATGTTCGCATATGTCTGTCTTCTCTCTGTATTGTATACTACCCCCCCCCCCCCCACACACACACACACACACACACACACAGAGAGAGAGAGAGAGAGAGAGAGAGAGAGAGAGAGAGAGAGAGAATGAGAGAGAGAGCTGATGGTATGAATTAGCACGGCTTCCTTCTTGATGCGTGCTCGAGTAGAAAATTGCATGATTGAAAGGGGAGAGAGAGACCCAAAATGGATTGGCTCTTACGGCTTCTACGTCCTTCTTTTATAGGAGTGGTTTTTGCGATAGTCGGATGAATTACTCGAAGAAGGGAGGGGGAGGGAGGGGGATGGGGGGGAAGGGGCGGAGGTAGATGCCAGTATTTTCTGTCTTTTTTTTTGTATGCCCCCTCAATTTCGATTTATGTATCTTGCTCATTACCCTACTTGTTGGTTAAGTGGAGTGACTCTGCCTTGACTCTTGAGTGCGGATGACTGACGGTATAGGGACTTGGCTATTTTGGAAGTCTAGACTGTAAGCGCTTCTCCTATTTCTTGTTCTCTTTTGTGATGTTTTTTTTTTTCGATTGTAGTATAGACGATTGATTAGCCCTTGTTTAAATTACTCTGTTTTCCTTTCTCTTTTTCCCTTTTCAACGGATACAGACATGTTATGCTTAGTGTGAACGGAATGGAAGGTATAGGCTTTTGAGTGATTGGTGGAGCGATTTAGTAAGAACTGGGAAGCACTCGGGTATATGGCGTTTCCTGAGCCAAGTTTGACGCGCGCATTGGTTATGCAATCTTCTCAGAAGGCGGAGTAAAGAAACTGTGGAGGATGAGAAAAAAAACAAAGGAAAAAAAGAGAAAAAGAGATCGCGTACGTAGTACTGATCAGAAACGGTGATGTTGACAATGGCGGTGTCGATGGCAATGAGAATGACGAGATGTAAAAAAA